CCATCTGCTGTGCGGCACCCTCTGTTGGGCAAAATTTCTCCCCAAGTTGATTGAACAAACCCGTGATGTTAGACGTGCCCCATGTGCTGCGCAGCGCCCCCTGCTAGGCACGACCCCTCCCCAAGTTGATTAAAAATGAATCCCTGGTGCTGGACGGGCACCCGCTGATAGGCAATGGCCCTCCCCAAGTTGATTGAAAAAGAGTCATTGGTGCTAGGCGTGCCCCACCTGCTGTGCGGCACCTTCTGCTAGGCAAGACCCTTCCCCAAGTTGTTTAAACCACGAATCCTTGGTGCTAGACGTGCCCCATCTGCTGAACGGCACCCTCTGCTAGGCAAGACCCCTCCCCAAGTTGATTAAACAAGGGTAATGTGGTGGTAGACGTGCACAGTCTGCTGTGTGGCACCCTTTGTTAGGCAATGGCCCTCCCCAAGTTGATTGAAAAAGAGTCATTGGTGCTAAGCGTGCCCCACCTGTTGTGCGGCACCTTCTGCTAGGCAAGACCCCTCCCAAGTTGATTACAAAAGAATCCTTGTTGATGGATGTGCACCTTTGCTTTGCGGCACCCTCTCCAAGGTGAGCCCCTCTGCTGTGCGGCACCTTCCGCTGGGCAAGACCCCTCCCCAAGGTAATTTCAGAAGAATCCCTTGTGCTAGACATGCCCTTTTGCTGTGCGGCACCTTTGCTAGGCAAGACCCCTCGCCAAGTTGATTACAAAAGAATAGTTGGTGCTGGACATGCCCCTTTGCTGTGCGGCACCCTCTGATAGGCAAGAACCCTCCCCAAGTTGTTTAAGCAAGCATCATTGGTGCTAGGCGTGCCCCATCTGCTGCGCGGCACCTTCTGCTAGACAAGACCCCTCCCCAAGTTGATTTAACAAGAAGGTTTGGTGCTGGACGTGCCCCATCTGCTGTGTGGCACCCTTTGTTGGGCAATGGCCCTCCCCAAGGTGATTGAGAAAGAGTCCTTGGTGCTAGGCGTGCCCCACCTGCTGTGCGGCACCTTCTGCTAGGCAAGACGCTTCCCCAAGTTGATTAAACAAGGATCCGTGGTGCTAGACATGCCCCATCTGCTGTGTGGCACCCTTTGTTAGGCATGCCCCACCTGCTGTGCGGCACCTTCTGCTAGGCAAGACCCCTCCCCAAGTTGTTTAAACCACGAATCCTTGGTGCTAGACGTGCCCCATCTGCTGAACGGCACCTTCTGCTAGGCAAGACCCCTCCCCAAGTTGATTAAACAAGAATATGTGGTGCTAGACGTGCCCCGTCTGCTGTGTGGCACCCTTTGTTAGGCAATGGCCCTCCCCAAGTTGATTGAAAAAGAGTCATTGGTGCTAGGCGTGCCCCACCTGTTGTGCGGCACCATCTGCTAGGCAAGACCCCTCCCCAAGTTGATTACAAAAGAATCCTTGTTGATGGATGTGCACCTTTGCTTTGCGGCACCCTCTCCAAGGTGAGCCCCTTTGCTGTGCGGCACCTTCTGCTGGGCAAGACCCCTCCCCAAGTTAATTTAAAGAGAACCCCTGGTGCCAGGCATGCCCTTTTGCTGCGCGGCACCTTTGCTAGGCAAGACCCCTCCCCAAGTTGATTAAACAAGAATATTTGGTGCTGTACATGCCCCTTTGCTGCGCGGCACCTTCTGCTAGGCAAGACCCCTCCCCAAGTTGATTAAACAAGAATATTTGGTGCTAGACGTGCCCCATCTGCTGTGTGGCATCCTCTCCAAGCTGAGCCCCTCTGCTGCGCGGCACCTTCTGCTAGGCAAGACCCTTCCCCAAGTTAGTTAATTCAGAATCCCTGGTCCTAGACATGCCTTCTGCTGTGCGGCACCCTATGCTAGGCAAGACCCCTCGCCATGCTGATTGAGAAAGAGTCCTTGGTGCTAGACATGCCCCTGTGCTGTGCAGCACCCTTTGATAGGCAAGAACCCTTCCCAAGATGATTTAAAAATAGTCATTGGTGCTAGGCGTGGCGGCACCTTCTGCTAGACAAGACCCCTCCCCAAGTTGCTTTAAAAAGAATCCTAAGAGGCCCCAAAACGGCCCCTCAGGAGGCTTCAAAACAGCTTCCAAAAGCCTGACGAGAAACCTCCCAAGAGACCCCCAAACGAACATCCAAGAGGCCTTGGACCCGCAACCCAGCCCCATCGGGCGGCGACGGCCGGCGGCGGCGGGGGCGGCCGACGAGAAACAGGTTTCTCGTCGGGCTCTTGGATGCTGTTTTGAAGCCTCCTGGGGGGCCGTTTTGGGGCCTCTTAGGGCCTCATTTGGTTTCCTGGGGGCCTCATTGGGCTTTCTGCGTGTTTCTCGAGGCCTCCGGGGACCTTCTTGAGGCGGAATGCCTCGGCTTCACAGTCCTTTGTGTTTAACGTATGTGCCTATAGATTGGTCGTCTCTTGGGGCTTCCTGGGGCCTCCTGGGGCTTCCTGGGGCCTCCTGGAGCTTTCTGCGGCTTTCTGGGGCTTCCTGGAGTCTCCTGGAGCCTCCTAGGGCCTCCCGGGGCTTCCCGGGGCTTCCTGGGACCTCTTGGTGCCTTCTGGGGCTGTCTTGGCCCCTCCTGGTGCCTCCTGGAGCTGTCTTGACCCTCTCCTGGGGCGCGAATCCTTTGTGTTCAACGTATGTGCCAATAGATTTGTTTTTTTCTTGGGGCACGAATCCATTGTATTTCACGTATGTGCCTATCGATTGGCCTACTCGTTGGGCACGAATGTTTAGTGTCTTACGTGCGTGCTTATATATAAATATACATATAAAGATATATATATATATATGTATAACTATGCTGGCCGTATCATGGGGCGCGAATCCTTAGCGTGTTACGTGATGCATATAGAGATGTGCCTCTTTCTCGGGCGCGAATCCTTTGTGTTTTACACATGTGCGTATAGATTGGCCCTCTCCTGGGGCACGAGTCCTTTGTGTGTTCACGTGTATGCCTATAGATTGGCCCTTTCCAGGGGCACGAACCTTTTGTGTTTTACATATTATTTGCTTACAGATTTGCCCTCCCCTGGGGCACGAACCCTGCGTGTTTTACGTGTGCGCCTATGGATTTGTCCTCTCCTGGGGCACGAACCTTTCGTGCTTTACGTATGTGCCTATAAATTCGCCCTCTCCTGGAGCACGAATCCTTCGTGTCTTACGTGTGTGCATATAGATTGGCCTTCCCCTGGGGCGCGAATCTTTTTGTGTTTAACGTATTCGCCAACAGATCGGCCTTCCCTTGGAACACGAATCCTTTTAGTGTTTTACGTATGTGCCTATAGATTGACCCTCTCCTAGGGCGCGAATCTTTCGTGCTTCACGTGCGTGCTGATAGAGTGGCCGTATCATGGGAGACGAATCCTTAGCGTGATTGGCCCTCTCCTGGGGCCCGATCCCTTTCAAGGAGCACGAATCTTTTGCGTTTTACTACGTACTTGCTCATAGAATTGCCTTCCCCTGGGGCACGAATCCTGCGAGGCGTCACGAGCTTCACTGGGCGTCACGGGAATAGAGGCTTCAGGCCGAATAGAGACTTCACGAGCTTCAATGGGCGTCAACGGAATAGAGGCTTCAGGCCGAATAGAGGCGTCACGAGCTTCACCATGCGCCACGGGAATAGAGGCTTCAGGCCGAATAGAGGCTTCGCGAGCTTCACCGGGCGCCACGAGAACAGAGGCTTCAGGCCGAATAGAGGCTTCACGAGCTTCGTCGGGCGCCACGGGAATAGAGGCTTCATGCCGAATAGAGGCTTCACGAGCTTCAACGGGCGCCACGGTAATAGAGGCTTCAGGCCGAATAGAGGCTTCACGAGCTTCACCGGGCGCCAGGAGGATAGAGGCTTCAGGCCGATTAAAGGCTTCACGAGCTTCACCGGGCGTCAGGGGAATAGAGGCTTCAGGCCGAAAAGAGGCTTCACGAGCTTCAACGGGGGCCACGGGAATAGAGGCTTCAGGCCGAATAGAGGCTTCACGAGCTTCACCGGGCGTCAGGGGAATAAGGGCTTCAGGCCGAATAGAGGCTTCACGAGCTTCACCGGGCGCCAGGGGAATAGAGGCTTCAGGCCGAATAGAGGCTTCACGAGCTTCAATGGGCGTCAGGGGAATAGATGCTTCAGGCCGAATAGGCGCGTCTAGGGTCGCCACCCCACCAGTGCGTCGCAATTCGTAGGCCGAACAGAGGCGTCACGCGCCGAATACAAGCTTCAGGCCGAATAGAGGCTTCAGGCCGAATAGAGGCTTCACGAGCTTCAATGGGCGTCAACGGAATAGAGGCTTCAGGCCGAATAGAGGCGTCACGAGCTTCACCAGGCGTCAGAGGAATGGAGGCGTCACCGCAGCTCTTTGAGGGAATAGCGTCTTCAAATAGCGTCTTCGGCGCCGGCTCGAACGGGGGCCCACCGGACCAGGCCCCTGTATACAGAAATATGTGTATATATATATATATATATACATATATATATATATACATACATATATACACATATATATAAGTTGAGCTATCAACAATACGTGTGTAGCGTTATCCCCTTCCTGTTCATGCGCAACCTCCTCATCCTCCTCTCCTCATGACTCGTCTCACTATCCCTCCTCCTCCTCCTCCGTTTCTCCATCATCCTTCCTTAGTTCTTCAATTGCTCACAGCGGGCAACTATTACCCTCCCCCCGATGGCGCCTTCTTCCTGACCCACCACTCCCAGGTGTGGCTTTCCACCCACACACACAGAGTTTCAGCAAGTGCATTTGATCCCGCGGAGCTGGGGTCACTGCAAATCTTGCGAGGTGTGGGTGTTCAGTGGCATGCTTTCGGCGAGGGTCTATACCAATCGTTGCATGTTTCATTGGGGGGGGAGCCCTGTGGGCGGTGTTGGAAGCCCCTCCGGTGGCCTCTTGAAATCCATGAGTCATGCATTGCGCGAGGAGTGTGCCGAATTGCAGCTCCCTTCGGGCGTCTTGGGGCCTAGCTAACCGCCTCGGAGGGCCACTTGCCACGAGATGCGTGAGGGGCGTGAATTGAAGCCCCCAGGAGCCGCCACGGTGGGGTCAGCTGGGCGCCTAGGAAGGGCCCATGGAACACAAACTGCGTGAGCGATGCGCCGAAGTGAGGCTCCACTGAATCGTAAGAGCGAGAATGCAAAAGCAACAAAAACTGCTTTGCTGTTTTATCGCTCAGGCCTTACTGAGGGCCTCCGAGGGGTGCATGTTCGGTCATCCTGAAGTGTCCTTGCAGTCCGTTGAGCTGCTGGGGATCTGTTGGGCCATCTCGGAGTCACTGATTTGGGGCTATCTCGGAGGTTCATTGGCCACGGAAGTGGTGAGGAGTGTGCCGAATGAAAGCTCACACGAATCGTCGGAACGGGCCAGCCGAGAGCCTCTGGAGCCCCTGGGGCACGAGATGCGTGAGGGGTGCGCCAAAATGCAGCCCCCCAAAGGGGAAACGAGCACGCAATGGTGTTCGGGGGTACGGCTTCGACGAGGCTCGGTACCAATCGTTGCAATGACTCTTTTGAGGCGGTTGTGGAAGCCTCCTGGGGGTCATCGGGGTGGGCCACGCGACACACAGTGCGTAAGGGATGAGGCACGAACTGCGTGAGGAACGTGCCGAATTGAGGAATTCGGGCATCTCCAGGGGAGCCCTTGGGGCTTCTTGGGCGCGAGGCGCGTGAGGGGTGTGCCGAATTAAGGCTTCTTGGAGCTGCCTTGAGAAGCTGGTTGAGTGCCTATGAAGACCCGTCGGTCACGAAGTTCGTGAGAGGTGTGCCACACTGAAGTTCCATTGAGTTGTCTTAGTGCGGCACCTGAGGGCTTCTGGAATGAGGCTCCCAATCGAATGGGGGCACCAATCTATTGTGTCTTTACGCATGCAAGAAGCACGGGAACGCAGACCCTTTTTGCGCGCCATACTTTTTACGCACAGCATGTGCCTGAGAGGGCATATCAATGTTTACTCGTTCCAGGAGAATCGGCAGGCGATTGCGCGAAGCCGTGTCTAGCATGCATTTACCATGCAATCTCCAGCTTCCCCTCCAAGTGCTACATGCCTATGACGTTCAATGAGTCTCAGTTCGAATTGAGCCCGAAGAGCGGGTAGCACGTCAGCCATCCCCAATTAGAAACGAGCATGCAAATCTCGCAATCAGTATTGTTCGAGAGCACGGCTTGGAAAGGGGTCTGTACCAATCGTTGCCACGTCAATTTGGGGGTGGTTTGGGGAACTTCCTGATGGCATCTGGGGGCCCATGCGACAGGCAATGCGTCAGGGGTGAGACACGAAGTGCGTAATCAAGGAATGTTCCAAATTTGGAGGTCCTTTTCAGCCATCCTGAGGACCAGCTGAAAGCCCCCGGGGCCCATGGAGCACGACGTGCATGAGGTGTGTGCCGTATCGAGGCTTCTGAGTTGCCTTCATGAGCCAGGTGAGTGCTTGTGGAGGCCTGCCGGTCACGAAGTTCATGAGGGGCGTGCCATCTTGAGGCTCCATTGGGCTGTCTTGGGGGAGTGGGGCCCGTGAGGCACGAAGTGTGTAAGGGGTGTGCCGAGTTGACGCTCTCAACAGGATGGCGGCGCTCATCAATCGTGAGTGCACAGGTACAGGAAGCTTTTCGTGCCCCACAGGCCTGTGAGCGCCAGTGAGCACATAAATCTCGCTATCATTTGGTGTTCGGCGGTTCGGCGCCGGCACCAATCGTTGCATTTTTCCTGCGGGGCGTAGTCGTGGCGTCTCTTGGGGAAACCGGCGGTCCGAGAAGCCCACTGAGGGCTTTTGAGGCGCCCATGACGCACGAAGTGCGGTCTTGGCTGCTCTCAAGAGGGCGCCAGGCAGGGATGTCCAAGAATAGTTTGGGCATGGGTGGACAGCTCTGGAAACACTTAACTAATCAAACAAGATGTAATCTCCTCGGGGTGCCTTCCGCCAGCGGAGCCGTCCCCGTCCTGCCTGCGCTCGCCTTCCGCTACCCTCCGCCGAGGCCCAGATATTGAAGGGCGAGACCCTTTTCTGGAGCCCCCCGGGCATCGCGCGCTGCTTCGCTCCTCTCCTCCGCAGCATGCAGCAGCCACTCTGACCCAGGCTTCTGGTAAACAGAGCCCAGAGGCCCTGCCCTGCGCCATCCCGTGCTCCAGATGCCGGGCTCCCTGGCGGCGCGCCTGCGGCAGGCGTTGGGCCGGCTGCCGGCGCGGCACGGCGCCACTGGCGCAGCCGGCGCTGCGCTGGCCAAGCGGCCGGCACCGTGAAGAAAACGGGTCCTGAAGGGTAGGTCGCAGGCGATTTCCCGACTCCACCCCCCGACTTTCGCACGAAGAGTCAGGCCGCTCAGAAAAGGAGGGAAGCCCGGGCATACACCCTGGGAAGGGCTAATCAGACGCACCCTTACCGAGGATAGACGCCCCCCTGTCCTGTATGGCCCAAAATTTTCGGTCCATTCGAAAACCCCACGTCGCCTGGAAGAGGGTCGTCATATCCCCCGTTAAAAGGGGTCCTGGATTTGGTTCCTTCCGAGGCGTGGTTTTATCCATGACCGCCGCCCGGAGGCAAAACATATCCAGATCCACAGCCCACTGGTGTCACCGGACGTTGGTTCCCCAGGCGGTGGATATGTGTGTATAGATGAATAAATGAATGTGTATATCTATCTATCTATCTATCTATCTATCTATCTATCTATATATTTATCTATCTATCTATCTATATATATATCTATATATCTATCTATCTATCTATCTATCTATCTATCTATCTATATATCTATCTATCTATCTATCTATCTATCTATCTATCTATCTATCTATCTATCTATATCTATCTATCTATCTATCTATCTATCTATCTATCTATCTATCTATCTATCTATCTATCTATCTATCTATACCTGGGAACGGAACCTGGGGCCGCCAGATTGGTGCCTCGGACCCCCATGGGGGCCACGGGGCTCCAGGACGCTCCAGGGGGCCCGAACCTCGACCACACATGTGGAGCCCGGGGCCCAGGCCGCCTCTCCGAGACGCTCCCAAGACTGCCTGCAGGTGTCTCCAGCGGCCCACGATGCGTCTTAAGCTGCCGAGGACGTCCCCGGAGACGCCCCAAGAGGCGTGAAGATGCCGCCGACGAGCGGCTAGAGAGGCGAAACTCGTTGATGTTCATGAGTATTTTCAATGTTTTTGCTTCCTCGCTGTGTTGATTTCCCGACGCTCCAAGACCGCCGCAGAGGCTCCCTAGACCGCTCCAAGACGGCCCAGGAGCCTCCAACAGAGCTCCTAGACGGCCCAAGTTGCTTACGACTGTCCCCAGACCCGCCCAAGACGGCCGAAGAGGGCCCGTAGAAGGCCGCAGGAGCCCTCGGACAGCCGTCCCGGCGGCCCCAGACGTTCTCGAGACGCTCCCAAGACCGCCTGCAGGTGTCTCCAGGGGCCCACGATGCGTCTTAAGCTGCCGAGGACGTCCCCCAAGACGCCCCGAGAGGCGTGAAGATGCCGCCGACGAGCGGCCAGAGAGGCGAAAATAGTTGATTTTCATGTGTTGTTTCTATGTTTTCTTGCTTCCTCGCTGTTTCGGCTTTCCGACGCTCCTAGACCGGCCCAGAGGCTCCCCAGACCGCTCCAAGACAGCCCAAGAGACCCCCAAGATAGGCCGAAGACGGCCCAAGAGAGCCTTACGACTGTCCCCAGGCCCGCCCAAGACAGCCCAGGAGAGCCCCAAGAAGGCGCTAAGAGCGGCCCAAGAGAGGGAACACGCACCGAACAGTCGAGTTCTCCGCCCCAAGATGCCCCCAGGAAGCCTCCAGAGGCCCCGAAGACAGCCCAGAAGGCCACTAAGAGGCCCCCAAGAGGCCCAAAAGAGGCCTCGATAGGCCCCAAAACGGTTTCCGAGAGGCTTCAAAACTGCCTACCGAGGTCCCCCAAACATGCTCCGGAAACGCGCTGCCGGAGCACGTTGCCGCCTCTCCTTCCAGCGTTCGGTGCCTAATGAAGACTTCAGTGGACAACCGCGCACCCAAAGCTCCAGCCTTTTACCTCAAGAGGCCGCCGGGAGGCCCCACAAGGCCGCCCAGAGGTCCCCAAGGCGCTCCCAGGAGATCCCCTCAGAAGCGGTCTCCAAAATTTCTTGGGCCGTCTGCCGGCCACTCTGGGCGCATTCTGGTACGACGCCTCTCGCACAACATGCTCCGGAAACGCGCTGCCGGAGCACGTTGCCGCCTCTCCTTCCAACGTATGCATGTATGAACGTATGTATGTGTTTGTTTTCTGTGTGTATTCATGCATACATCCATGTATGCATGGATGTATGTATGTGTGCATGTGCATAGTCATATACACACGTATGTATGGATACATACATACACATATATATATATATATATAAACACACGGGTACACGCATACATACATGCTGACATATAACGTATTTGGTTTGGTTGCGTGCTTGCCACTTCCTGAACTCATGTTCGCACGATCTGCGGGCCTTCCATACGTGCAGCTTTGACCTTGTCCAAAGCTGGGGTTGGCTAGAACCTAAGCGCGCGCGAAGCGCGCGCGAAGGTTCTAGTATATATATATATATATATGATTCCCGGGTCAAAGGCACACGCCCCCCCTCCCAGATGGGATGGGTCCCAGGACTCCACTGCTCCCCCCACCAGATGGGATGGGGGGGGACGACGACGACGACGACGACGACGACGACGACGACGACGACGACGACGACGACGACGACAACGGCTGCGACGGCGACGACGGCGACGGTGACGACGGCGACGGCGACGGCGACGGCGACGGCGACGACGACGACGACGACGACGACGGCGACGGCGACGACGACGACGACGACGACGACGATGACGGCGACGACGACGACGACGACGCCGACGACGTCGACGACGACGACGGCGACGACGTCGATGGCGACGACGACGACGACGACGGCGACGGCGACGGTGACGACGAGGACGACGACGGCGACGACGACGACGACGACGACGGCGACGGCGACGGCGACGACGACGGCGACGACGATGACGGCGACGGCGACGGCGACGGCGACAACGACGACGACGACGACGGCGACGACGACGACGGCGACGACGATGACGGCGACGACGACGTCGGCGACGGCGACGACGACGGCGGCGACGACGACTGCGACGACGAGGACGACGGCGACGACGACGGCGACGACGACGACGACGGCGGCGGCGGCGGCGGCCGTGGCGGCGGCGGCGCCGACCTCGGGAGCCCTCCTACGACGACGACGGTGGCGGCGATGACGACGACGACCTCTAGAGCTTTCCTGGAGCACCACAGTACCACGCCACACACGCCACACCCACAGCACCACACCACACCCACAGGGGTGGGGACCCATCGTGGGGTACGGTGGGGGGGGGCCCGATGCCATCAGCATGGTGGGGGTGGGGGGGGGGGCCGGACCTGGATCATATATGGTCCAGGGCTTGGGCCCCCCCCCCCCCAATGCTGATGCCATTGGCCCCCCCCCCCCCGCGCGATGGTCCCCCCGCGATGGCCCCCCGCGCGATGGTCCCCCCCGCCCCCCCCTGTGGGCGTGGCGTGGTGCTGCGCTGCGGTGCCCCCCCCCCTGTGGATGTGGTGTGGTGCTGTGGTGGTTCAGAAGTGGGCGTGGCGTGGTGCTGCGCTGCGGTGCCCCCCTCCCCCCCCCTGTGGATGTGGTGTGGTGCTGTGGTGGTTCAGAGGTCGTCGTCGTCGTCGTCGTCCTCGTCGTCCTCGTCGTCGTCGTCGTCGTCGTCATCGTCGTCGTCGTCATCGTCGTCGTCGCCGTCGTCATCGTCGTCGTCGTCGTCGTCGCCGCCGCCGCCGGCGTCGTCGCCGCCGCAGCCGTCGTCGTCGTCGTCGTCGTGGTCGTCGTCATCGTCGCCGTCGTCGTAGTCGTCGCCGTCGTCGTCGTCGTCGCCGTCGTCGTCGTCGTCGTCGTCGTCTCTGGTGGGACCATACCATCTGGGGGAGGGGGGGGGCCCGAGGAATCCTGGGACCATACCATCTGGGGGGGGGGGGGCCCGTGAACCCTCGACCCTGGAACATGTATAGATCCTTGCCTCGCGTTCACCTTTCGGGGGGATTCCCAGGGCCGTGTTTGGACCCAAGGTGGAAAGTTGGTCCCAGGGGTAGCCCTGGGATCCAGTCGCAGGACCCTTTTCCTTCATGCCAAGGCCGGGGGCGGCGTTGTTGGCGCTGGCAGCAGGTGGCGGCGTGGGCGTGGCTGCGTGGTGCGAAGAGAAAAAGCAGGTCGTCCGGTGCGGCGTGTGGAGGGAGCTCGAGGACCTGACCGCTGCAGAGTCAAGCAAATCAGCCACCGGCAGAGTAGTCTTGGTCACGGGAGCAGCCGGCTTCATCGGTTACCATTGCGCACTTGCGCTCAAGAAGCGTGGAGACGGTGTCATCGGCATAGACAATTACGTCCCCTACTACCCAGTGAGCCTCAAACGGTCTCGCGCTGAGGATCTCAGGAAAGAAGGCGTCTACGTGTTCGAGGCGGACATCAACGAACGGAATTTCTTGAACCACATCCTCAAGGAGTACAAGGTCACACACATTCTTGCGCTGGCGGCTCAGGCTGGCGTTCGCTACGCGGCCAAGGACCCGGCCTCATATGTGGCCTCCAACGTGGCCGGCTTCGTGAACATCCTAGAGGCCGCGCGCCACGCAAGCCCAATGCCCAGAATCGTGTACGCGTCTTCCAGCTCTGTTTATGGCCTCAATACCAAGACCCCATTTTCTGAGGACGACATGGTGGACCGTCCCGCGAGCCTTTACGCCGCCACGAAGAAGGCCAACGAGATGATGGCACACACGTACAACCACATCTTCGGCATCTCGATGATAGGGCTGAGGTATTTCACCGTCTACGGTCCCTGGGGCCGGCCGGACATGGCCGCCTTCTCTTTCACGCAGAAGATCGACCAGGGAGAGGCCGTGAAGATCTTCCAGGGCCCTGGAGGCACAGAGCTCATGCGCGACTTCACGTACATCGACGACATCGTCGCTGGCACGCTGGCCGCCCTGGACACCGTCGCACCCTCCACCAAGGAGACGGCCCAGTGCACTACATACAACCTCGGGAACAAAGACCCGGTGACTGTCTCGTACCTGGTGGACTGTTTGGAGAAGTCCATCTCGGGGCCCAGAGGTATAGACGCTGGCAGCTCTCTGCCCGCCTTCCCACTGCTGTCGGGAAGGGCGAAGAGGTTGGGGAGGCTACAAAATCTGCTGCATGCAGCTGGTCTCCGCCCCGCCGCTGAGCACATCCCTCGATGCGTGGTCGTTCTTGCCTGGCACATCCGGGCGCTTGGAACACCGGCTGCGTGCAGCTGATTCCCCGTCCCCCTTTTAGACCATCCCCTCTTTGTGCCGCCCTGGTCTGTGAGGGAAGAGAGGCAGAGGAGGGAGAGGGATGGACGAGAGCCAATGGTGGTCTAGATTGTTTGGGCCCCGCACCATCGGAAAGCAGGCGATCAGAGAATACATGCCCATGCCGCCCACCGGCGACGTGCTGAAGACGTCCGCAGACGTGTCCAAGGCGGAGGCGGACCTCGGATACAGTCCGAGCACGCCGCTGGCCACCGGCATCGACAATTTCGTCCGCTGGCACCGGAGCTACTTCAAGGACGGGCAGGCCAAGGACGTCAGGGAGTACGTTCCCTACTGAGGCGTCCGCGAGGTTCTGCACGATTCTGGATCAGCCCACCTTGCCTCTCACCACTTATCCTTCATCTCCGTCTCATCCTCCTCCTCATCCTCATCCTCATCCTCCTCATCCTCCTTTCCTCTACTCCCTTCTCCTCCTCCTCCTCCTCCTCCTCCTCCTCCTCCTCCTCCTCTTCCTCCTTCTCCGCCTTCAGTTGCTTCTATCTCCCTTTTTCTCGTCTTCTAGCATTTCTCCCCGTTACCTCCTCCTCCTCCTCCTCCGCCTCGCAAATAACACGTGCTCGCTGCACCGTTTGAAGATGTCGGTAGGGTGGCCCTGGCGTTTCGCCCAAGAATTGTTCACGACGTTTGTCCATGAAGCTTACAAGTCCCAACTAGTATAATGATAAAGGACATAGGTGTTTTCAACATGTGATTTCCGATGTAACGCCACGCGCACTCGCTGTGAAAGTTCTCGACCGCTGTACGCACGAAGGCACACGCTCTTAAACACGTTGTTTTCGATGGAGCCTCACGCGCACTGTTCGTAACACTGCTCTTAACATGTTCCAGCAGCTATGCAAACGGAGAGCGGTCCCTTGTCAGTCTTGACATGTGTGCCCTGGCGTCGCTTCGAAATCCTTGGGGGGGGGGGGGGGCTGGTCGCCGCGGTGCGGCTCTTCCTCCCGCTCCTTCTCCTTCTTTTGTCCCCCAGAAGCCGCAGGGCGGGAACTACCCCCTTTATCATCCGAGAGCCATGAGAAACAGCCTAACTTCTTCCTCCCCCCTCCCTTTCCTCCCAACTCCTCATCAAACTCGCCCCCCCCCCCGACCGATCTCTCTGGGAGCGCGTCTTGACCAGGATCCCGAAGCGAGGCCAACGGGAGGCGTAGGCAGGAGGGTCTACGCGTCCTGACCAGGATTCTAAAGCGAAGCCAACGGGAGGAGGGGTCAGGAGGGACGAGGAAGAGTTGCTCGTAACTTGAACGCCAGTTAGGGGCAGACACCGTTGCCTCATGTGCCTGGAAGATGAGGACTGAAGTCCGCGAGCAGATTGTGGGAGGCTTGATGATGGAAGATGGGGGCAGCGTAAATAGCACAGGGCGTCAGAGGGTTACCCACGAGGGCCCCTAACAGCCGCAGCAATTGTCTTCAGAGGGCTCAAGCGGCTCCTGAAACAACCCAGGAAGGCTTCCAGGGGGTTCATGAAGCGGAAAGCGGAGGGTGCCGAAAACGGGACATTGAGCGAAAACACAGATGATGGTGCAGAGTCTTAGATTGTTTAAGAGGAGCTTTCAGGCCGACCCAAGAGGCCTCCCTGATATCCCAAGTTGGCCGCGTCCCCATGACGCATTCTTCGGCACGTCACCAGCCTTACCACGTCCTCTGACTCCTCCTCTTGACGTGTGTCACACGTCGCCTGGCAGTTCACCAGGCGCGGCCTCTCGCACCTTCCATGGCGTTCCCCTCTGGCACCGCTGGCACGTGCCCGGGCGCGCCCCCTGGCAGCCTGGCTTGTTCCGTGGCGCGTTCAGTGGCACGTCGCTTGGCTTCTCGCTGACGCGTCCCCTGGCACGTCCCATGACACATCCCTTGGCGCATCCCCTGGCACGTCCTTTGACACGTTCTCTGGCTCGTCCGTTGCCTCATCCCCTTGCTCGTTCCCTTGCTTGTCCCCTGACGCATCCCCCTGCAGCGTCCCCTGGCTAGTTCCTAGCACGTCCCCTGGCACCACACATCCCCTGGCGTGTGCCCTGGCTCGTCCCCTTACGCGTCTCCTTGCATGTCCCCTGGCACGTCCTTTTGCACGTCCACTGGCGCGTCCCTTGGCACGTCCCGTAGCCCGTCCCCTGGCACGTCATTGGTGCATCCCTGGACACGTCGCTGGCACATCCCTTGGCAAGGCCTCTGACAGGTCCCCTGGCACGCCCCATGGCAAGTCCCCTGGGTCGCCTCCTGGCGCATCCCTTGGCGCGACCTCTGGTACGTCCCGCGGCGCGTCCCTTGCTACGTCCCCTGGCGCGTCCCTTGGCACGTTGCGCGGCACGTTTCGTGGCACGCCCCCTGTCAAGTCATTTCTGGACCTCAAGAATGTTCAGACGTTCTTGATAGCGAAGTGCTCTGTGCGCAAGAGAAACGGGACTTCCCGACGGGCGACAATGGGAGGGGAGGCTTCGGAGGCTACGTCCAGACCAAGAGAGTCCCCCAAGACAGCCCGAGGGGGCCTCCGGACAGGGTCCAGACGGCGTCCGACAGCACCCACGAACGTTCCGTGCGAAGGCGTACCGAATTTGCGGGCAACGTAGCGGCCAGCGGACGCCCACTGTGCTGGCAGGCCGCGGTTGCCGGCGGAGTTCGCGGGCCGCCTGGAGGAGGTGTTGGGGTTTCTGAGGAGCGGATGATATTGGGCGACGCGTGAGGGTGGGCGATGAATGGAGGGCAGCGAGGGCTGCGGAGAAAAAGCCCTGCAGGGCCCCGAAAGGGCCCTTGAGAGACGAAAAAGGGGGCTTTCGGGCCCAAGAAATGCACCTGTCTTCCCCCTCCCCCTTTCTTCGCCCCCCACAAAGCGACGCCCAAGGATACGAGGAGTGCGTAGATGAAAGGGTTGAAGGACTGCATTTCTGGCAGAACCGTGCGGCAGGGAACTCACTCGTCGTTCCCTGGTGGGCCGGCGGAGCCCTTCGCGTACTCCGCCAGCTCGTACTGCATCACCGTAGCCATCTGCCTATGTGCTCGTGGTGATTGGGAAGCTCTTGGGTAGAGAATGGAAGAGTCATTGAAAGCATAGAGACGCTTATGTTTTGCTGAGGCATTCCGTCGGCTGCCCGAGCATATTGGGAACTCCTTAGGGTCCCCGGGATGGTTATGAGGGCTTTGGGGGGCCTCTCAGGGGCTTATGCGGGCCCCGTGGGGGACAGTTTAGATGATACTGGGCCAATCTAGGGCTATCGTCGAGATTGCCTCTGGGGACTGTTGGAAGGTTAGGGGCCTGCCACCCGCTGATTCCTGCTCGTGAGCACTCCTGAAGCCCGTCTGGGTTCCTTCTGGAGCTAGATTGGGCGATTTTGAAACCGTCTAGAGGCTTCAGAAACCTATCCGAAACGAAAACGCGAAACATACAAAATCAGTATCTATCTCTCTCTGTTTCTGTCTCTCTTTCTCTCTCTCTCTCTATGTGTGTTTGTGTGTATGTATGTATGTGTGTATGTATGTACATATATGTATATACACCTATACGACCACCCTTCGGGTGATAAGGAGGTTCGGGGGGGGAGGAACCAACGTCTCACTCGATCGGTCTCACTATCGATCTCACTATCGATCTCAGTATCGGTCTCGCTCGACTGATCTCTCTCGATCGATCTCACAATCGATCTGACTCAATATATCTCACAATTGATCTGACTATCGATCTCACAATCGATCTCACAATCGCTATCACATTCGGGCTCACTATCGATCTCACTATCGATATCACAACCGCTATCACAAACAACGTCATCATCATCATCATCAACAACATCAGCATCAACATCATCATCACCAACATCATCATAATCGGGACACCGTCCTCATCATCAACACCAACATCATCATCATCATCATCATCACGGTCATCAACATCATCGGGACACCACCATCATCATCATCATCATCACCATCATCATCATCATCATCATCATCAACATCATCATCATCAGCAGCATCGGGACACAGTCATCGTCATCATCATCATCAGCAGCAGCAGTATCATCATCGGGGCACCATCATGATCACCATCGTTATCTCATCATCATCATCATCATCATCATCATCATCATCGGGACACCATCATCATCATCATCTCATCCTCATCATCGACATTATCATCATCAGCATCATCAACATCAGCATCAACATCATCATCGTCATCATCGGGGCACCATCATCATCATTACCAACATCAGCATCAACATCATCATCATCATCATCATCATCACCATCGGGACGCCATCATCATCAACATCATCATCATCACCATCAGAAAAATCATCATCATCGCGACGCCATAATCATCATCAACCTCATCATCATCATCAACATCATCATCATCGGGACACAATCATAATCAGCATCATCAACATCAACATCATCATACTCATCATCATCGGGACACCATCATCGCCATCATCATGATCATCAACATGATCATCATGATCATCATCATCCTCATCATCGGGACACCATCAGCATCATCATCATAATCATTATCATCATCATCGTCATCATCATCATCATCGACATCATCATCATCATCATCATCATCATCATCGGGACACCATCATCATCATATCATCATCATCATAATCGTGATCATCGTCCTCATCATCATCATCATCACCATCAGCATCACCATCATCATCATCATCATCGTCATCATCATCAGCAGCATCATCATCAGCATCAACCTCATCATCATCATCATCATCATCATCATCATCATCATCATCTTATCATCATCATCATCATCATCATCATTATTATCATCATCATCATCATCATCATCATCATCATCATCATCATCATCATCATCATCATCATCATCGCGGGACACCGCGGGACACCGGCGGGACACCGCGGGGCACCGCGGGACACCGCGGGACACCGCGGGACACCGGCGGGACACCGGCGGGACACCGCGGGCCACCAGCCGCCCGGAAGGGAGACATTTGGTCCGGCCGCGCTTCAGCCACACGGGACGCCAGCGGGACACCGTCGGGACACCGCGGGCCACCGGCCGCCCGGAAGGGAGTCATTTGGTCCGGCCGCGCCTCAGCCACAGGAGACTTTCTCTCGCCCGCCCACGCAGCTTCGCCTCGCCCGCACGGCA